ACTTAACACCAACTTAAAACATACTAAAAGCTCATTTCAATTGCAATAATAATTTTCAGCCTCAACACATGCTACAAAAGCTTTTAGTATGTTTTACCTTGGTATTAATAAAATATTGATTTTTTTTTTCTTATCATAGTATGGGGTTGATTTGCTAAAGCTGCAGAGTGCAAAATTTGGTGCACCTATGTAAAGAAACCAGTCAGCTTCCATTTTTTTTGTTAAAGGTTAAAGTGATACTAAACCCAGCCCTGCATTCACTATATCTGGTCTCCCACAGTACACAAAACATGGAAATACAATCATTTTAGTAAAAAGATCTGCTAAATACCCTTTCTCATCAGCAGTTAGAGCAGTCTTGTAACAGTATCCAGCTGAGCACTGCTTAAAGCTTGTCGGGAGGAGTTTTCATTCTGCTCTGACTGTCCTATGAGGCTGCGTAACCCCTGACCCTCTGTCTGGACAGTGCTGATTGGCCCTGTGCTTTACACATGCACCCTTCCAAAGAAAAGAAAACTCTCCAGCTATATACGCTAAAGTAAGCATGTGCAGAGTGACTCCTAGAGCTCTCTACTATCAGCAGATGGATTGGGGACAGTAGAAGAAGGGAAGGATCAGTGAAGGAAGGATGAAATAGCCTTTTTACACAATGCGGATTAACCACTTAGGTTCCACAGTGAGTATAACAAGCTTGATTTACTGAATTACAGACTGATTTTACTGTTGTGGGCTTAGTAACACTTTAACTGAACAAGCTGAAATAAGACACTGATTGGCTACTATGCACAGCTGCACCAGGTTTTGCACTCTCCAGTTTTAGTAAATCAACCACCATGTCTCATTCAGGTAGCTAAAAACTTTGCCTCTTCTTACCATATTTCTTTGTGTGTGGCTAATTTGGGATGTGATATCCTACATAATAATAATAATCTATCCTCAACTTTTGAGTGTATTTGAAAATCCTAACAATGAAATGAAATTATTATTCTCTTTAAAGAACCTTCATATTGGTTTGGCTGCAAATTATTTTTAAGGCTTCTGTTTTTCAGGGAACAAGATATATGAATTTTAGACTTACTCAGCTGGTGTCATTTAGTATTACAATACAATCATACAAACACAATTCTAGACCATTAGAACCACAACATTTGACTGGGTGGACATCTGTATTATTAAAGGAAGGTGCCAGAAATGTCCTTTGGTAGCTACAGTGAAACAGGTGAACAACAATGTGAGAGAAGTTGAGTTACCAAACACAGAACATCATCCTAATCAACTGGATCCTTCACTAAAAATGTAATTAATTTTCTGTCTTTCTATAATAAGCACTTTACTTGCCATATTATAGATGCCCACTTGGTCTGTATAAAGAGAGGCACTTGGAAGTTAGTTTTATGGCTAATAAAGATAACTATACATACTTTGAAATGTTCCAAATGGCTGACAGATTCATATCAACTTACGATCATAATAAAATGAATTGCACTTCGAAGAAGGTTATTAGTTTGTGGTAGTTTAAAGCAACTCTGTTGCGATTTAAAATATAAGTAAAACTAAACAATGCCTGCAAAGAAAGTGAAAAGTTTAATACTTCCCTAATACTTCCCTGCTGCCCATGCCTTCACACTATGACATTCTCAAGCAAAACTTGCTAAACGAAATCTTCCTGGAGTGTCGAGTCCAGGTGTCTTCTAATAAATCACACTGCATCGCTAAAAAATATAATCTTTAAAAGTAACTCGGCAATGAAGTAGATAATATAGTTCATAAATGAATAAATGATGAATAAATATTAAAAATTCAGAAGTTCAAAAGGTGACAATAGTGCTCTGAAGGTGCCTGCTCCAATAATAATCCAGTGCTAGTGCAAATGGGTGTAGTAAAATTGCACACTCACCAGATGCGCAACATAAATGCGCATGTAAATATATAGCCAGATGTCCTCTTAAGGAGATCAGGGTAGACCAGGTGGTGGATTATCCTCCCTCTGAAGGGTGAGTGGCACATCAGATAGCTCTAGGACACTACTTGGATCCAAATCAGCCAGAGGTCTCCTTAAGGGTTGGGTGGGTGTTGCTGCCTGGGTATACAGGAGATTCCCTCTCTGGATACTGGGATGGATCTTTGGTCTTGAATGGGTTTCTGAAAACCAATTACTCCTCCAGGGAGTTAGACAAAAAGATGCCCATAGTGTAGTAAGGTAAAAAGTAGTTTATTTAAGGGTACATTCCCACAGTAAAAAGTATTAGAACCGAAGTAAGATTTGTCTGTGGGAATGTACCCTTAAATAAATCTGATCTCCTTAAGAGGACATCTGGCTATATATTTACATGCACATTTATGTTGCGCATCTGGTGAGTGCGCAATTTTACCACACCCATTTGCACTAGCACTGGATTATCATTGGAGCAGGCACCTTCAGAGCACTATTGTCACCTTTGAACTTCTGAATTTTTAATATTTATTCATCATTTATTCATTTCTGAAGTTCATTATCTACTTCATTGCTGAGTTACTTTTAAAGATTATATTTTTTAGCACTGCACTGTGATTTATTAGTTTTATTAAGATTTTATTTGGTTACCTTTCGTGCATAGCTGCTCTTTTTAGTGCTCTCGCATATCTTTTACCTTTTTATATCCAGGTGTCTTCTTCTCTCTGTGGTTTCAACCACTGACCGCTATGTCAGGACACAAACTTGAAAGGCAGAAGGAACCACAGAGTGCAGGAAAAGACTAGGCATCTGACAGACCAGAAGTATGCCAGATGCTGAACATTCTTAAAGTTTTATTAAACCCACAACAGTAAAATCAGTCTGTATATGCAGTAAAACATGCTTGTTATACTCACTGTGGAACCTAAGGGGTTAATCTTCCGCATTGTCTAAAATGACTGTTTGATCCTTTTTTACCTTATACTCCTCTTCTACTGTCCTCAATCTATCTGCTGATAGTACAGAGCTCTAGGAGTCACTCTGCACATGCTCAGTTTAGTGAATATGGCAAGAGAGTTTTTTTTTCTTTGGTTGGGTGCATGTGATCAGCACAGGGCCAATCAGCACTGTCCAGAGGGTGAGGAGTTATGAACCCTCATAGGACAGTCAGAGGAGAATGAAAACTCCTCCTACAAGCTTTAACCAGTGCTCAGCTGGACACTGATAGAAGACATAAGACTGCTATATACTGCTGATGAGAAAAAGTATTTAGCAGTTTATATTTAATACAATAATTCCATTTCCATGTCGCGTGTACTGTAGGAGATCAGATGGAGTGAATGCAGGGTCCTGGGTTTAGTAACACTTTAACTGTTAAAACAGAGGGAGAAAATCTCCAATTTGTTTTGCTTTATTTGTACAAAATATTGTATTGTCTCCCGTTATATTGTAAAGCGCTGAGCAAACTGTTAAATCCTGTATAATAATAATAATAACACTGTTCAACAAATTTTTATTTTTTGCCAGTTTTGGAAACAAAAGGATCCATTTCTTAATGAATTTCACATTCTGAGTTCAAATATAACAATGAAAAATTTGTCAATTGGCTCTAGTTTTTCTGTAAACGGAAGGTTTTCTACTATAGGCGTAATGACTACATAATGCACAATAATTATATAGATAGATGTCTTTCCACAAATATAAAGCAAGTGATATTGACTACATAACAAAACCTAAATGGCATAATATATTGCATAGGATTACCAAGAAAAATTATAGCCATAAGCTAAGTTGAATCATTTTAATACTTAAGATTCTCACTAGTTTTGTCTTCAGTTTGTGTCGGTTTTGCTTCTCTTGGCTTTTCTCTTGTATTCGAGGAAAGGGCTATCTCTTACAACTGCACGTGACTACACGCTTCAGGTTCTTCCTCACTTGACTCAACCACGAAGGATTCTGGTGCTTTAGGAATTGGTAGCCCCTCTCCATGAGGAACTGGACGTATTGCCGATGGAATATTTGGATAGTGCACAGATAACTTTTTCTTCTTATGTAGCCCTTTTACAATTGGAGGCACCATACAAAAGTAACAATTACTAACATGATCTGTTGGCTCTCTCCAAATCATTGGCACAGCGAAAGGCATAGATGCCTTTTTTCCATTCAACCATTGCTCCAGTGCCGTCCCACAAGAATTGCAGCATATATGTGGTGCCCAGCTCTTGTCCTGGTCTCCTATCTTGCAGCCAAAATACAAGTTGTAGGCTTTCTTAATCATTCCTGTTATCCTCCTTTTTTGTGAGATAAAAGTTATTTCACCGCAGATATAGCAGAAATTATCTGCTTTATTCACACAAGTTCGAGGCATTACTGAGTAGCCTATATAAGCATAAAACGAAATGTAAAGACGCTGTCGAACTACAATCAGCTACAGATACTGCAGCTTTTATGCAGTGAAGTGATGCAATTAAAGGCTAATATTGCATCATCTCAGTATACATGCAATTTTCTATTGGTCACCAGTATCAATTGCGCAATATGCAGCTGAAGTTGCATCATAATTTTGAATGGCTTACGTCATTAGATGGGTGAATATATCATGGAAACTAGAGCCAATCAACATTTTTTAGGGTCATTTTCGTTTTCAGCACCCCAAAATTATGTAAGATTAGCTAATTTTATGCCCAAAACCTTTTACCTGTTGAACAGTGTAATAGTATCGTTTCTAAGCAAGAGTATCTTTGGAAGCCAGAGGAGTTTGGAAGCATAGGCAGCGTGAGGGGTGAGTATCAAACAAACAAGTATTTTTTTTTCTGTGCCATAATACAGTATTATAAAACATATTGTGCACCCTTGGGGGGAGAGTCAGAAACTGCAAATGACACCCACAAAACGTAGCAGTTTTCCACTACTAATCTATACTCTACAGTATGTCTTTATACAAGATACATTATGGCATAAAAAAGGTGTCAGCCTATATTGATAGCAAAAAGGAGAAATTGTTATAAAGAAGTCTGTCATTTCTGTGTTGTAATCTCATACAATAAGGCAGTACATATAGGCTTACCTCCTGTTATGAACATGCCTGGAGCTGTGGGGACCCAGGCCAAGCACTGGACAGACGCTGCTGCACTTGGAAAACTAAATGTAGTAATACATGATAAGGATTCAGAGTCTACTAGGCGAATCCCATTGTGTAAATTAGCAACAAGAAGGTAATCAGTGGACAGTGGGTCCCATTCTAGTGCCGTTACTGGATCCTCCTCATCTGTCCCCTCCAGTGATTCCGGTCGCAGGACATGCTTCTGACTCTTACAACCTAAACAAATAAAATAATGTCTATGTTTCTTGTAAAATAAACAATCTGTACATATTATGAGCATTTCTATTTCTATAGGCTTCTCATTTATGTAGCATGATCTGTACTAATCACCCATTTCACTAACCACACATTGACTACAGGATGGAACAAGGGTAGAAATTTCAGTTCCCTATTCTTCTGGTTAATATGGTGCATGGCAATATGTTTTCACTATATCACCATTATGTGATCTAACTACTAAAGACCATACTACTATCCTAATAAGGCAATAGTATAATCTATATTAACCCCTTCATAACAAAGGTAAAATAAACCTGAGCACAGTTTTGCAACTTTGACATGTGTTTGTAAAAGTGTACATATCAATGTAGCTACTTAGTGTATCCAGACAAATTATACCTTGTTTAAGTCTTTTATTTGTTTTCATAATGTCACAGTTAAAATTAATATGTGAATGCATTTAGATTATGGGACCTAAAAAGGTAAATCAGCATAAGGTGATAAAAGAATAATTCCAGGTATGGTATTTTTTTTACATCTTGAACCAATGTAAATACCATACTTGGTCGATGCCCCTGGAAGCTGGAAACCACTGGAGTAGACACTGCTACTCCAGTGATCTCCATTTGCTTCCCACATGGAAGAAAAATATATTTGAAATGTATTTAAAAAATATTCTTCCAAAATATATTGACATATATTTGAAATGCTACCATTTTGGCCATATTCAATATATTTCAAAATATATATATATATATTGCATGTTGAAATGCATTTTTTTTACAAACTATATGAAAAAATATTTTTAAAAATACATTTCAAATATACTGTATGTCTTTAAAAATAAAAATCTACATTTTTGGAATGCATTTACAAATATATGTAAAAATATAAGTTAAAATAACTTTTTTATATGTTAAAAAAATCTTAAGAATATATTTTAAAAAATATATATATTTTTAAAAATATGTTTCATATATTTTGTAATATATAAAAAACAACATGCAGTATATATATTTATTGAAATAAATTTTGAAATATATTGAATATGGCCAAACTTGTAGCATTTCAAATATATGTCAATATATTTGGGAAGAATATTTTTAAAGCATAAATATATTTTTCTTCCATATGGGTTATGGGTGCTGCCCTGAGCGGCTAGTCAGCTGCATTGTGAACAAAGGCCATCGGCTGCTTGGTGCGGGCACCATTAGGAGAAAGCTTTGCATTCTCTGAATGAATGCAAAGTGTTCTCTGATTGGATTAGGTGGAGAGGCATGGTAGGAATGTCATGTTCTCCACCTAATCCAAAGCTTTGCGTCAAGAAGCCAACATCTGTGTTCAGAATGCAGCCCGACTACCGCTCAGCAAATGATCTTGAAGCAAGTAGAGTTCATTGGAGTAGCGGTGTCTACTTTAGAGATTTCGAGCTTCCAGGACCATCAGCCAGGTATGAGGTATACATTGTTACACATGGGCCCAAGCTGGACCAATGTAATTATATATGAGATATCCATACTTGGAATTCCTGTTTAATAAAGGTGAATTAGTTCATGGATCACTCATATACATTGTGTGGCTGCGAATATCAAGGCATCCAAAAGGTATAAAAAAGAAATACTATTAGCAGGTGATGTGACCTGGCAGACTTTTGGACACAGGAAGATTGTAGCTGTTTAGAAAGCAGACGTCGGTGTTATACCAAATACACTAGTACTTTTTTATTTATTTATGGATGCTGGAAAGCTTCGGGGGTTATAAATCTAGCAGTTTTAATAAATGAATTTGCATGTTTGCTGTGGTTAGTTTAATAAACATAATTAACAGTGTTGCTGGCAATAATTAACCGTGTTTCACAATGAATGGTTGCTCGGTAGCTATGGCACTGCAGTGAATTTCTGATGTCTCATTTGTGATTGATGTGTTTAGATAACGTACTCTTAAATATGAAGCAGAAATACTAAGTATGTTCATTTAACAGAACGCAAATAATACAAAACATTTCCTATGAACACAGCATCAGGCAATGGTGTATATTATATATACTGTATATACTGCATATTCCTCATCATTTTCTAATGCCATGCAAGGTAAATTCTTCCTAAAACAGGAGGTATCTGTATGTCACATTTCATCGTTTTACTATAGTGGCTGTAGCCAAATAAATCATACCTTGGATCCTGGAGGTAACTGAACATCCAGGATTGCTTTGCACTTTATTACAGATGCATTCTAATATGATAGAGCCTTTTATTCCATAAAAGTCATGGTTTACTTCATAGAGGCCATGGTGTCCATACATTGCACTGTTGATGGCCAACAAGCCTGAAAAAGCTGTATGCATTTTGAAATAAATGGCTATTTAACCTGTGCTGTCAACCAGCAGTTCTAGGTGCACAATGCAAACAAATGACAACCACCCCAATCTATAACTGGCCTTTGCAGCAAAGAGCACATGGAAGGGCGACACTGTCTAAACACTAGAAATAACAATTTCCAGTTTACTTACCAGCCAGCCAGCAACAAACCGAATTACCCCATCTAACAGTTCGCATTAAAACAAGGGGTTTAGTTTGCACCAGGGGCGGACTGACAACTCATGGGGCCCCCGGGAAATAGGGGATCATAGGGTGTTTTTTTATCAAAGACGTAACAGAATACATTTTGGCCAGCATTGAAGAAGAATTTTGATTTGTAAATTTTTTTTATTGGATATGTTTTGTAGCAGAAAAAATATTTTTTTTTCAAAATGTTTTGGTCTTTCTTCGTTTATGCAATAAAAAATGTAAAAAAAACTTAGAAGTGATCAAATACGACCAAAAGAAAGCTCTATTTTTGTGAAAAAATTATATAAATTGTGTTTGGGTATAGCACTGCATGACCACTCAATTACCAGTTAAAATAGCGCAATGCCTAATAGCAAAAAATGGTCTTAAGTGAGCTTACCATAGTAACATTGTACTGCTTTGGGAAGTGATCTATGTTTTTTGTTTTACACAATTTGCTTATAGCAAAGATTGACTTTGCTATAAGCAACCATTTACCTGAATGAAATCGATTCATTCAGGGTTTTTTTTTTCTTAACTGTGATTTGGTCACAGCTAATCACATGACATAGCTGGGCTGTGATTGGCCCAGCTTGTGCATGTGATCGCTGTGACCATTCACAGCTAGCCACACTTGTATACAATGGATGGCATGATAGGAAGTCATCCATTGTATACAACTGTCATGTGACCTGCTGTGATTGGTCACAGCAGGTCACATGGTGCCAGTACACAGATCTGTCATCGGCCGTGTCCGAGGTACACGGCCGGTGACAGATCACACCGCTGCGTGGCTCTGCTTGCATGAAAACTGCGCATGCCTGAAAGGACGCCATATGGTGTCCACCCGGAGGGACGAGGGTTTTTGTAGGCCGCCATTCGGCCATAGGCCGGGCGGGAACCGGTTAAAGAGTAACTCCACTTTTGTTGAGAAAAAAACATTCCCCACTGGCTGATCTCTATACATTGCACGGATTTTAACAAACTTTGCTGCAGATTTCTACCTGTTTGTTTGTCTGTATCTGTGTAAAAACAGTGAATCTGAATGGGAGTGATTTTATAATTATCAATCAGCTGCCACACCTGCAGGGCTGTAATTAGGAAAGTGGCAGAATCTGCATCCCTTTAGACGTGATTTCTCTTTGGGAGTATCTCATCACAAATGACATTTTTGTTGCAGGAGATGCCCAAAATCTGACTTGTATCTTTGTGCAGATTTCTGGGAATATCAGTAAGCCAATCACAGAAGCAGGAAATTACATTTCTGGGGGGCATTTTGTACACCATCTGTGCGCAGAACACCTCCAGGTGGTCATATTGCATTGCCTTTTACAGAAAATCACAGCACTGCAGATTAAAAAGGAAAGGTCATTTAAATAATATTCAATTACAATATGACTTACAATTCTATATGCTATAATATTTTTTTCCCATGAACGTGGAGTTACATTTTAAAGTACATATCCAGTTTTTTTCAAAATTCCTCCCCCCAACCATTTTATTTTTAATTCCGGTCATACATACCTTTTTCTTTAAGTCTTATTACCAACCACATGACTTCCTGAGTCTTCTCCCTCTTGTCCCTTCAGAGGGAGTAGGTGGCTTTCAGTACTGCCGAAAGTAATACTGATCCTGTGACACCAGGAAAACAAGGAAATGAAAGCTCTTCTAAGTGCAGCACGGACTTGTAAAGATTTACTAAGAACAAATACTGAATGGCCAATTCGGTATTTGCTTTTAATACATTTTTACAAGTCCATGCTGCACTTAGAGACACTTTTCCTTCCTTTATTTCCTTGTGTGCATATAGGAGGTGCTTCTGTTCTAGGATCAAACTTTCCCTAGTGGATGGACCTTAATTTTGTTTGATTTACTTTATTATGGACTCTTTTAATGAACTTTTGTGATGTCTTACTGAACTTTTATTGAATTTTTTGTTTAATCTATTGGATTTCCACTGGACTTTTTGTGAAAATTCTGCTTGGGCATAAACATTCCATTGCGCCTATATATCCCATTTATTCTTATGATGCCATCACTGGTACCTGCAGTATTGTACTGTTAGCCCAGGCCAATGTAATCATGACTCCTCATAGGGTGTACCCCTGACAGCCTAGGTTCACAGTAATGGGCTGGATGATGCTGGCTGAAGATGATCAGTGACTATCCACAGCATGGAGTCTCTGTGGTGGTTAGCACTTGAGTCAAGGTGAGTATTGCAGTGAGAGATACATTTTTATTTCTGCAAATCTTTGGAAATTTATTTAAAAAAAAAAAAGCTTTGCTTTAAACACTATAGCCCCAGCACTGACCTTTTTGGGGTTTTTTTACCTGGTTGAAAAATGGAAAGGCTGCCATCTGTGTGTCCAAAGACAACTTTTCCTTTTTTCCTTGGATGCCACCGAAATAGACAGATGTCTGACAAAAAGCTGTGGGCTTCTTTGTGAACTGCCACACCACTGTCTGGTCCAGAGATAGTCCAGATATAAAGGGGCCCTCTGTGTGAGACAAAGGCTACGGCATCACCGGAATTCCAACACCAACTCAGTGAGGCTGGCATTCCTAGACAAGGGCAAGATAAGAAAGGAAAGGCACTGAAATCAGAGAAAACTGTTCACAGTATAGAAAAGCCGTGAATCAAATTAGATTATTTTAAGCAAGCTTACATACAGAAGGAAGTATTAAGGAACAGAGCAATATTAATTTTGACATCAAATTTCGATCTAGTTTTAGTCATAGTCTTTTGATTAAATGTAATTTTAATTGTAGTCACATTTTAGTCATTTGAATTATTTTCGTTTTAGTCATATTTTAGTCGAATAAATACTCCAGTACATTTTAGTCGACAAAAATCTCCTACATTTTAGTTGACTAAAATCTAATAGCTTTAGTTAAATTGCAATGCATTATTTAAGCATTTCCAAACTCATTATATACTCCTGGAGAAAACTCTAACAACATGTTATTGTTTATGGTATTAAGGTTTAAACAAACTACATAGACACAGATTTAGCTGTTATATAACATCTTTATAAGTAAAACCACATTTCGTTACAAGAAACGTCCCTCCCTCACATTTTTGCTAAGTTTTCCTTTCTTGATGAAAATTCGAATTAATTTTTTGCATAATTTCTGTCAATTGCCGAAAATTCAAATTGATTTTCATTTAGTTTTCGGCACTGAAAACATGCCACTGATGAAAATGATGGCGAACATATTTTCGTCGACGAAATTAACACTGGTACAAAGTAGGTGCAACAAATAAATATAATACAGTTGTACAGTATATGATGTAGAAAATAATAACATTTTTTAAGAGGTTCAAACCCTTTCCCATTCTAAGTATATATAAAAAAAACAAAAAACAAAGATATATTGGCTGAAGTTTTAATTTAAAAATCAGCAGCCAGCATTATAAATGTAGGTTTATCAAAACATAAATGATTCTGAAGCAAGCATACATTAATTTATATCTAAGTATTGAACCCCTGCCAGACTTTTATTGCTGTCTGTGTCATACTGAAGAGATTTACTCTATTTGTCCCAATGATCATTGTCACCACAGAAAATAATGGGAAATATACAAGTGGGTGGTTGTTACCAGAACAGGAATACAGGACAATGAATCTTCCAATGGATATACCTGTTCTGGTGACAACTGACTGAGGTAATTTCTTTTCACTTTGGGGAGGTTCCCTCTCCCTGTCTGGTGTATCTCTGGAACAAGATCTGAACACTAATCAGCATCTAGTATCACAGGCAGTTCCCTTGTTCATCTTACCTTTTGTGCTGTCAAGTCTGGCCACGACTTTCTGTTCAGCTACATTCCAAATGATCACTAGATTGTCTGCGCTGGCACTGGCAAACATGTCAGGGTTGTGTGGGCACCAGGAGATGGCTGTGATTGTCTTTTTGTGCTCTGACATGATTGCACGGAGTTTAAATTCATTGTATCTGTGATCCAGCTAGAGGTAAGAAATTGAATCAGTTTTTTTTAATCATGTAAATTAAGATACAAGTGCATTAAAAAAAAAAAAAAAAAAAAAATTAAACCACCTCCTGTTTACACAATATTTTTGAGGGGCACCTACAACATACAAAAAATACATACAGTATGCTTCATTGATATGTCAGTGCAATGCCTCTGCTTTAACCTTTTGGAGAATCTCTACTCTTCCATTACATAGCCCACTGCTCTTCACACCACCACCTCTACCAATGTAATAAAGCCTTTTTTGCTCCTGTGAGGATCTTAAAGGCCAGTCAAAACATTTTTTTTGTTTAGCTTTGAACAGAGTGGGGAAGGAGCAGAAAGTCTGTCAGGGTATTAGCCATTTGATCTCTGGAAGATTTTACCCCCTTCATGACCAGGCCATTTTTTGGCACTGTGTTACTTTAACTGGCAATTACATGCAACATCGTACACAAATAAAATTTACATCATTTTCTTTTTAAATAGACCTTTCTTTTGGTGATTTCTGATTACCACTGGGAATATTAGTTTTTATAAAAAAAAACATTTTTTCACTTTCGGTTAAAAAACATATCCAATAAAATCAAAATGTGGCATAAATGTAGGTCAAAATGTATTCTGCTACATGTCTGGTAAAAAAAGCATCTACAAACTATGGTTGTTTTATATATATATATATATATATATATATATATATATATATATATATATATATATATATATATATACATATATATACACACACACACACGCATATATAAATATTTGAAAATAAATTATAACAAATTATAATAAATCCTGATGTACTGATGGCCTGTCTCATTTTTTGAGGTCCTAAAATGACCCCTTTTTTGGAAGGTAGACAGTCTGAGGTATTTAGTAAAAGGCATGGCAACTTTTTTTAAATCATTTTTGTCACAATTTTTAAAAAATGAAGACATTTTTTAAAATGTGTTCTTTTTCACTTTTTGTTTTGCATACAGTGTAGTACAGTGTCATCATATGACTGGTGTGGTGATGATCAGGTATACTGACTGGTGACAGTGTTTAAAAAAAAGAAAACATTTTTTTTTCAATTCTTTAAAAACTTTTTTTTTTTTTTTTAAACTTTTTTTTTCACTTTTGCTGTCAATCAAATACTGTAATGAGGGAGTGGGGGACAGGGCCGAGCTGCCCTGTCTATGCCAATAGATGCAGACAGGGTGGCTCAGAAGCGACTCTGCACAGGTGCTCCTATGGAAGGAGGAGGGGCTTGGAGTGCCAGCGGGGGACCCCAGAAAAGTAGGATCAGGGCTACTCTGTGCAAAGCCATGGCAGGAAAGCATAACATGTTTGTTATTTTATTAAAAAAAAACCTGAAAGTTTAATGTTACTTGAAGATCACTGTATACTGTAAGTAATAGCTTTAGCTGTCATGAATGGGTTAACCATTCATGAACAGTTTGCTTTTGGTTGTGATCTGTGATTGGCTAAGTTAATTAAATGGTACATGCAGCCTGGTACCATGTGATTGCTTTGGGCTAATCACAGATCACAATAGTAAGCAAACTGTTCATGAATGGAACCCCATTCATTACAGGTTGTTTATATTGTTATCATGTGATCACTATGACCAATCATAGCGATCACATGATACCCAGTTACAGGATACTGGTAACAATGATTCACTGTGATCCTCTTAAACAGGTACAAGCTCAATCACGTATATATACGTGACTGAGCCTAAATGCACCGCCCCGCCGCAGTAAAACTACTCTGCCAGGGCTGAAAGTGGTTAATGTTGTTTGTGTTCCTGCTGGGGATATTTCACCTGAAATTCTCCTTTCATCTCCTAGAATGTGAGGAGAACATGGAAAACACAAAAAACTATCTGAGTTTCTAACAACTCCCCGTTCTACTCAAAGCTAAAAAAGAAGTTTAGGCTAGAAATGGGCTTTAATAATAGATGCACCTAAAATAGAGTGCAGTGTCAGGGGTCCATCATTGAGTCATAGGCATTTACTTATATATAAAAAAGAGAGCAACTGACTCCAGTGTAGTACAGTAATGAGCGTTACTTCTACAACTCTGGTGGCTATGTTGTCCAAGCCTTCGTAAGTTCCAGTTCTGCATTGTTCAGTGTTCATGTCCATCCACTTCTTTCATTCTTTTATAAAATGAATGTCAGATGTTTTTGATGCGCAGCACTTTAGCAAGCCAAATGTCATTCAGTTACAGTTTTTTTTACTTATAATATTATATGTATGTCTGCTACTGGACCAAGACCCTGTCCATCCTGAAAAGAACATGCATAATTTGTCAGGCCATACTACGCAGGCAAAAGATTATCAATGCATAACTAATGCGTCTTCAACACAAAATAAAAAAATGTTGTTCATTTAGGCATAAAATGCCTCCAGTTATAAAGTGGTTAATGGAAATATAACTGTAAGGCTCCATGCACACTAGAAGCTGTTATCAGCATTTTTTTGTGCTCCTAAATGCTATTTTAGTGTTATCTCATGTGTCCATGAACACTATTTTAGGCTAGTAGTGTTTTTCAAGCTTCAGTGTTTAGGAGCAGAAGGAATATTGTTTTTGTAGAGTTTTTGGGAAAGTTTTTCTGGCATAAAAAATGCTAAATGCTCCTAAACACTACTAAATGCTACTAAAACGCTCCTAACAGCAACAAGCATAGATCTATACTCAAAAAAGTAAAAAACAAAAACAAAAAACCCAAACCCCCCTCAAAAAAAAAAAAAAAAAAAACAAAAAACCCAACAAGAACAACAAAACACACAGAAAAAAAAAACGGGCAGACTCGATGAACTAACCGGGCTTTTTCTGCCGTCACCTTTCTATGTTTCTATGTAACAGCGTTTTTCTAGCTTTCTTTTTTTTCATACATGTACTGTAAAAATGCTAATTTAACACTATCGCTCCTAAATGCTTCTAAACACAACCAAATAACACTATTACCAGTGTTTTTTATCCAGCATTTGTTGAGCTTAAAAAAACACACTAGTGTGCATGGATCATAGTAATAGCATGCACATACAGTAGTATACACACGGCTTATATGTAAGTCTACAGGCTTGGAAAAATCCATATGTAAATTTATAGAAAACTGGCTAAGAGATCATATTCAGAGAGTAGTGGTTAATGATTTATACTTTGAATGGTCTAGGGTTGGTGGTGGTGTACCCCAAGGTTCAGTGTTGGGACCCTTACTTTTTAATATATTTATAAAAGATATAGGGTCTGGGATTTAAAACACCATTTCACTCTTTGCAGATGACACCAAGCTGTGAAGTGGAATAACATCCTTACAGGATGTCTCCAACTTGCAAGCCAACTTCAATGCATTGTTTAATTGGGCAACTATGTGGCAAATGAATGTAAGGTTATGCACTTGGGGGCTAAGAATATTCATGCATCATACATACTGGGGGGGTTAAAACGGGGGGAATCAATGGTGGAGAAGGATCTGGGGGTTCTGGTAGATCATAAGCTTAATAATGGCATGCAATGCCAAGCTTCAAGTTTCTAAAGTGGGCAAAATCCTCTCTTGTATTAAAAGAGGTATAGACTCCAGAGAGAGAGATATTACCCCTGTACAAATCATTAGTAAGACCTCATCTGAAATATGTAGTTCAATTTTGGGCACCAATTCACAAAAAGAACATTGGGAACTGGAGAAAGTACAGAGAAGGGCAACCAAACTGGAGGAGCTCAGCTATGAGGAAAGATTAGAGGAAAGATTAGAGGAACTGAATTTATTCTATCTTGAGAAGAGGAGATTAAGGGGGATATGATCAACATGTATAAATACATCAGTGGTTCATATAGTGAACTCATTGCAGAGTTATTCACCCTGAGGTCATCAGAGGACAAGGGGTCACTCTTTACATCTGGAAGAAAAGAAATTTAATCTCCAAATTCAGAAAGGTTTCTTCACAGTGAGAGTTGTGAAAATGTGGAATAGACTCCCTCAAGAGTTGGTTCTGGCCAGCTCAGTGGATTGCTTTAAAAAAGGCCTGGCTTCTTTCTTGGATACACAGAATATAACTGGATACTAGCATTTATAGGTAAGGTTGATCCAGGGAATATCTGATTGCCTCTCGGGGGATCAGGAAGGAATTGTTTCCCTTGCAGGAACAAATTTTATCATGCTTTGCTGGGGTTTTTTTGCCTTCCTCTGGATCAACTGTGGGTATAGGATTATAAAAATTTTTTTGTAATGGTTGAACTGGATGGACTTTCGTCTTTTTTTTCAGCCAGACTAACTATGTAACTAACTATGTAACTATGTAACACATAGTGAAACCCAGAACAAATGTGCTTGATAATGAAAAAGCTAATACAGAGTTTTGTTTTCACAGTAAACTTTCTCTTCCTTCCTCCTCTTTTACTCCCCATCTCTTTCCCACTATTATTATTATTATTATGCAGGATTTATACAGTGGCAACAGTTTGCATAATGCTTTACAATATAAAGGGAAACAGTATAGTTATAATACAATACAAGAAGGTTAAGAGGGCATTGCTCATTAGAACTTACAATCTAATAGGGCGGGGCAAGTGGTACAAAAGGTAATAACTGTGAGGATGTGCTGATGGAAAAATTAAAGTTCTGTTGTTAAGTGGAAGTGGGATAGGCTTCCCTGAAGAGATGAATTTTCATGGATCGCCAAAAGGTGACCAGCAGAGGAGATAGCCAGACAGACTGAGGCAGAGAGTTCCAAAGGATGGCAGAGCATCCAGGGAAGTCCTGGAGACAAGCATGGGAGGAGGAGACAAGGGAGCTAAGGAACAGAAGGTCTTGGGAGAAGTGGAGAGTATGGTTTGGGTGACATTTTGAGACATGATTGGTGGTGTAGCTTGGGACAGCGTTATGAATAGCTTTGTATGATGATGTTAGTAATTTGAATTGAATTCACTTGGCAATCGGAAACCAGTGGAAGGATTGGTAAATGGAGTGGAGGAGGGGGCAGACACTTAGTGGTTGGTAAGATAGATAAGTCTGTTGGCAGCAGTAAAGAGGTAAGCCTATGAGAAGAGAGATGCAATAGTCAAGGAGAGAGATAACAGGGGAGTGAATGAGGAGCTTGGTGGTTTCATTCGTTAAAAAGGGGCAAATTTTAGAGATGTTACGGAGGTTTAGTCTACAAGCTTTTGATAGAGATTGGATAGGCCAGGATCTAGGATTATACCTAGTACCCTGGCATGAAGGGAGGGACCGATAGTTGTATTATTGATCTTGATGGAAAAGTCATTAAGGAGGGCATGGTTGGAGGTCGGGAGAGGGGGAATGTTGCAAGCTCGGTTTTATAAAGACTTAATTTGAGGACATCCATGCTAAACCAGGTAAGAGCAGAATCTTGGTGGCCAAGGGAGTGGAGATTATTCAGGAGGAGTGGGTGGTCAACAGTATCAAATGCCGTAGAAAGGTCTAGTAGTAAGAGTATGGAGTAGTGGACATTGGTTTTAGCAGTTAGTAAATCATTAGTAAGTTTTATTATTGCAGTTTCTGTGGAGTTCTGCAAGCAAATGCCAGACTGTTAGGAGTCAAGAAGGTTGTTTTTCAGTGAGGTAGGAGCTCAGGCATTGTAGACTAAGCATTCTAAAAGTATGGAGGAAAAAAATGGGAGCAAGGAAATGGGTCTTAGGTTTTTTAAGTTGGTAAGGTCCAGTGAGGACCTTTTAAGTATGGAGTGATCTGTGCATACTTTAGAGGGGATGGGAAGGTGCCAATAGAGAAGGAGAGATTGAAGATGTGAGTGAGAGAGCACAGGATAAAGAGGGTGACTGTAGTAGTGTGAGGGAACAAGATCCAAGGGATAATTGGTTAGTTGGGCTTCTGAGAAATGTTTGGTAACCTCTTCTGTAGTAGCTAGGTCAAAAGAGGAAAGTACTGAATGTGCTGTTAGACCAGGTATGTTAAGTGATGAAGATATTTGTACAGTGGCAATGTCCTCACGAATTGCATCAATCTTGTTTTTTAAAGTGATTGGCAATATCTTGGGCAGTGAGTGAGTTAGTGGATGGAGGAGGTGGGGGACCAAGCAGAGAGTTAAAGGTAGAGAAGAGCTGACGAGGACTAGATGACAAGGTATTAATAAGAGTGACAAAGTAGGTTTGTTTGGCAGCATGGAGGCAGCAATTGTATTTTAGGAGGGCAGATTTGTATAAGGTGAAGTCTTCCAGTGGTTTACAACAAGCATGCACAATGCTCAAAGTTGAGCCGGCACAAACAGCAAGATGTCTGTATCTGGGGTGCTCGCCCAGTCGCAACTGTGATGTATGAAACAGAGAAAAATCCAGATGGTAGCACTTCCGATGAAATATCCAAAAAACACTTTTATTCAATCAAACCATGGAAAAACACACAGATATACAAACAGGGGAAGGTGAAGGCTACCGCGTTTCACGCAAACACTGTGCTCCCCGCTCCCTACTCCAGCACATTTTACACACACTGACACAAATCATCATTTTTTGTACTATAATCAGCCTTTCCTATTCAGCAATGTACACACTTTTGCTAGTATATAAAAAAAGTCAAGTTTAAAGATGATGGTACAGCAAATCATTGACAAATATAACAAAGAAAAAGAACTTACCTGATATACATAAATAGCTAAAGTGGCACAGTAAGCAAATCTGTCTCCACTAGCGGCACACACATCTTTGTTCCATGGCTGGCACCCAGCAGCTAGAAGACCTACTTGCTTCACTTGAGACATCTTTGCCTACAACAATACAAATCACATTTATTTACTAAAAGCACAATATACATTACTGAAGCTGATCATTAGTAGGGAAGTAAAACAAAGATAACATTATCAAATTGGAATATAAATAAAAGGTAATACAATTACTGAAAAAAATGTGTGTATACTCAACCATTTTTTTATCTTAACCTATTTTTTTTGCATTCATAAACATATTTTAGCAGGTGAATTCAAGACTATTGCTTAACAATACAAAATGTTCATATTTGAAAAAACATTTTGGATAACAAATGATAGCAATCGGTCATCTAATAAAGCTCTCCAAAAAACTGTGCAACAGTACTAAAGTTAAAGCTTATCTACCCTAATTCGATTCCTATGTAATTACAGCAAGCAGATCCTAAAACAATCTTTACAGGTACAGAGGTAGCAATAGAGCCAATAGGTAGGCTGAAGAGAAGGTAGCAAAGGATGCTTTTGCAGAAACAAGAGGGGATGACAAAAATGAGGGGATGACAAAAATGACTGGACAACCAACCAATACTGCTGGGATAGTTCACATCTCACAGTAAACTTAGTTGATTTTCGCATGAACAGTCATACAAATTTTTGTATGAAAGTTCTCAGTACATTTGATGACTTTATAAATGTCGCGCAAAAATATTGCAAACTTTCATTTGAGTCTAACATTCATTTTTGCAATAAATGTATTTTCCCAAACGAAAACAACATAAACTATTAAAAATGTGTTAGTTCAAGAAAAATGTACTATCCTGGTGCTCTGAATTTTCTTGTTCCTTCCTATGGTCGAATAGGAATGTCCACTTGACCCCATAAAAAATGAGAACATTGAATGAACGTTTTCAAAATGAAAAAATACTAGTGTATGGCCAGCTTTTGTGGCAGACAGCTTACCCTCTTGCAGTACCCAAACAGACCAATAGTCACAAGCAATGTTTACATTTTTAAACATTTCCTGCTTTTATTGGGCCCTCTATGGCTCAACATACTTTATCTACTATTTAGGAAATTAGAGATTCCTTCATAAAACATACTGTTAGTACATAAACATAAAACGTAGTAGCAGCATAAGATTTATTTCAAAAGCATTTAATTAGGAGCACACAAAGGTACATCCCATCTGTGTACCATTGGGGTATCAGTTATCATTACCCTTAGTGCTAGACTGAGACTACAAAGCAGTTCTGGCATCTACAGCCGCCTATGTCTGTTTGCAAAGTTCTTTGCAGGCAATGTTTAAATTGCACTTGTGCCCAGAGAATAGACATTCTAATGGAACCTCAAAGTACCTACCCAGCTTACCTGCATTGCAGTCGAAAATGTCTAAAGCACAATCTTTGGTCCATTGTGGTGCGGTGGGCAGCCCATTAAAATGAATGGGATACATTAACACAATGCATGTTCATGTGTAACATAAAAATGTATTAGATATGTGTTTAACACACTACAATGGACCAGTGTGAATTGGCTCTTAAAATCCAATGGCAGGAACTTAATAAAATGCACCCTTGCAGTGAGGTCCCCCCTGCACTACAAGGTTTAAATGCTTGCTATGTTGCACAGTGCAGGCTCTATCGCTTACCATATACCCCATTCTGGCTGGCTCTGGTGACCTCCTCCTCTAAAGCTCTGGCCTGTGGGCAGAGCCTTGGTGTTATCACATACAATACATGGACATTAACAGTCTATGGTACATTAAGGAGCCAGTAGCAGCTTACAGAGCAGGTTGCAGGGGACTGGTGGTAGCGCTGGGGGGGCCTTGCTGGAGCAAGGAGTAAAGCAAGTATTTAATGTCGTTCTGCTATGCAAGGGTCATCGGGGACGTCTTTGCATTCTTGTATTGGCAACACAGGTACATTTAAACAAATTGCCTCTTCAACAAGCAGCCCGTATGCTGTCAATGCATATGAAAGAACCTTTTAGCGAAATCTCTGTCCATCTGGAGTGTAGTGAATAATGGTCAGTATGGCCCATATCCTGCATCCCCGTTCTCACTGTGGGCATATACCTATCCCATCTACATTTTATTGCTGATCAGTACTGACCATAAACAGACTAAATGTAAACAAACCAATGTTTCCACAGACCAGGGCCTAATGCCAGCTCTTGAACCAAAGAGTAAGAAAACAGAAGAGTAAGGGCACCTTCACACCTGTGTAGCCTTATATAGTACGCCAACGCATGGTGTGTCACTCATTCTTGTGTGCTGCATTAGGGTAGTTCCCTGTCTTTATCTTAGAATTGAAGGGTCTAACAGCAAGCCTGGGCAACAACATAAAGTCAACCTCAAAGGGCTATGGGTACTGGAAAGAAGAAACGTCTTCAATGGTAAGCTGGATGTGCTTTGCTGATATTATCAGTACAGATGCCCACTCTCTGTTTAATATTCAACTACAGGTTCACTTTAAATTTTGTCATATATGTGGAATTCTGATAAAGAAATCAAATTCAAATCTATTTTTTTAAGAAATTGCAAAGCAAGATAGATATCACAATGTCTACATAAAATGTCTATGAAGATATACAATGGGAGTTTTATTGGACTGCATGAATATGGGATTGAAAGTGCCTCAATCACACCCACCAGAAAAATCTATTTTTGACAAAATTTGTTTTTTTTCTATTTTTTAATTCAATAAACTGTATCAAAGCTGTCAATTTATTGTTCACTTACAACATTACAATCGCCTGAATTCTGGTGGTCGATTGAACCCCTGGGTGGTAGACTGCTTATTTTTTTTTGCAATTACTTGCAATTGAAAATGCAACTCCAGGTGGATATAAAGCAATTGAAATTGAGAATCTTTATCTGTATGGCCAGCTTTCAAATAACGTTCCGAAAAAGAGTATTTTTATGTGACACTCTATCAGAAGGACTTATATTTTATTCAATTTATTTTTTCATTTATTTGGATGGAGTTTTTGCGCTACATCCTATGTATGAATAATGTACTATGGTGTGGTGAGAAGCACACTTTTGATGTGCAATTACTTGCAATTGAAAATGCAACTCCAGGTGGATGTAAAGCAATTGAAATTGAGAATCTTTATCTGTAAGGTTCCGAAAAAGAGTATTTTTATGTGGCTGAGCCGGTAAGTGCCGTGGAATGGAGGAGGAGTTTTGCAGAGAGGAGTGATGGCAATGCTGCCTTGGGAGGAGTAATATAAGCTCTCATGACCTTGATATGTGTATTGGGATCCATTTGAGGAGTTTGCATGTTCCTATACCTATGATAGTTGAGCCACAGCAGGAGAAGAAGTCAAAGGCGGATGCTTATTGGTCGAGACATTTCTCTCCGGATATGAGAATTTATGCTTATGTGACCTTAATGTGATATTTGGGGTCCACTTTAGAAGGTGAGTGCACATATTGCTCGGGTGATTAGAAGAATAAGAAGATGTCTGTTTTGAAGACTACTGAAGACATGATACACTATTGTGCTTGGTGATGGACTAGTGACACTCTATCAGAAGGACTTATTTTATTCTATTTATTTTTTCATTTATTTGGATGGAGTTTTTGAGCTACATCCTATGTATGAATGATGTACTATGGTGTGGTGAGAAGCACTTTTGATGTGTAGTAACAATTTCTCTGAATACACTGAAGGAATTGTTTTTTGTATATTTACTTTGGTGCATAGAATAGTATGTAAAGAGCAGGGGCGGACTGACCATTCGGAAATTCGGACACTGCCTGAGGGCCCGGGGTCAGTAGGGGGCCCCATGAGATGCCCCTGGTACCTTTTTCATAGGCTTTTTTGAGTTTGGGCAAGGACACAGGGGCCCCATGATCCCCTATTGCCCGGGGGCCCCATGAGTTGTCAGTCCGTCCCTGGTAAAGAGTTGCAAAATTTTCCGGTGCTATAGGTGCCTGCATTATTTTATATTATATTGCAATATAGTACTTATATAGCACCAATATTTTTTTAAATTCTTTATAAAATAAAGGAAGATGGTACAACTAAAAACAAAAATAATAAGTAAAAAATAAGTAAACTTTTGTGGGAGTTTACTTTATGTGAAGGGATGAGCTGATGGAGGAAGTAAAAGTTCTGTTTTTAGCTTTATTTGTTAGGTGAACGGAAGTCAGTGGAGGGTTGGCAGAGAGGGACATCCAAATAGCATTCACATAGACTAAAGGGGAATAGCCTGTGTAGAAGTAGGGTAAGGAGGGAGATTCAGTAGTTGAGGCAAGAGATGAAAAGGAAAGGAATTAGTAGCTTGGTGCTGTCCATGGCTAAAAAGACACATATTTTGGAAATGTTACATTGGTGAAGGCAGCAAGAGATTTGGATAAGGACTAGATGTATGGCTGTGAGTAGAGGCCAGAATTACAGTTAGAACCCTGGCATGATGGGAAAGCCTGATGGTTGAGCTATTGATCTTGACTGAAAGGTTGAGGGAGAAGCGGAAAAGTTATAAGCTAAGATTTTAAAATATTTAGGTTTTAGAAAGTTGTGTGACATCCATACTGATACATCATTTAGTATATCAGGGATACTCGAGAAGACTGAAAGGGTGAGTTCCAAGATGGTATTGGAAACTATGGGGGCTATCAACTGACCCACGGAGGAGATGTAGCTAGAAGGGCTACAGAGAAAGAATCCCATGGGGCCCTACAGGAGGAGGGAGAGGAGAGGAGGAGATGGGGTTGTAGGTGATGCTGATCATAAATTTAGGTAAGAGGAGAACCAGGAAGAAGCAGAGTCTTGGAGGCCAAAGTAGGGAAGTTGCTTGAAAAGATAGCTGATACTATTGTTTGATCAGTTGCACGGGAAGTTACAGGAACACTGGAATTCTGGCAGGATCAACAGGTATTCTTCTGTACTTGCAGAAGTCATATTTAGCCTGAAAAAGTCACTGCATCTAGGGAATGGAAACCTGCCAGATACTGTATTACATTTTTGTTCTTGGGTTTAGAATTATTTAAGAGTTCATTGAGGCATAAAGTGATTCTAAAGGTAAAGTTTTTTTTTTTTTTTTTTTTTTTTTATAACAACATGTCATACTTATCTGCTCTGTGCAATTGTTTGCACAATACAGCCCTGTTCATCCTTTACTGGGGTCCACCCATCAGTGGTCCAGGCCCCTCCCACCCCCACTGTGTGCCCTGAATAGCAAGCTGCTTGCTATGGGGGCACTCAGGCTTGCTCGCTCCCAATCCTTGCTTTGTGTGTCCATAGACACACAAAGTGTAGCTCAGCCATGGCCCCTGCTCCCTCCTCTCTGGCTGTGATTGACAGCAGTGGGAGCCAATGGCTCTCGCTGCTGTCTCTGAGCCAATGAGGAGGAGGAGAGCAGGTTGACCTGCTGCTCTTGTGCACATTGCTGGATCAAGATTGGGCTCTATTAAGTATAAGGAGAAGCTGGAGGGAGCTGAGCACTGAAGGCTTTTTACCTTCATGCAAAAAATGCATGAAGATCAAAAACCTTCTGCTTTTAGAACCCCATTGATTTTTTATACTGGCTAAGGGCTTTGTAAAAGATATAATTTGAGTTTTATGGTTAGGTGTTATGTTCAAAGTAACTGTCATTTTAAATGACATACAGTATTAAAGTGTGTTACAATATGTTTTGAAGTTCACTCATTTAATTTTCAGGCGTGAAGTACTTGAGCATCCAAAGTCAATGCACCAAAACTCCCCCCACCAATTTTATTGTGACTATAATCAACGTTTTGCATTAGACTTCCTGAGCAAGATCAACTACTAATGAACTGAACAATTTAATAATCTGTCACAATTTAGCCTCCTTTTGTACAAAATGGCTGCTAATATCCAAAAACAGAGTGCCAGCATACAGTAGTTCTACAAAGTGCCATATACTGTATCCATAAATCACTTTATAGGACTATATAAATATTACATACATATTTCTTAATATTATCATTCACTCCTCTATAAATTTTAACTTCCCTAAGTTGACTCCTAATAAAACTGAAAAACTCTTTTTGTTATTTCTAAGACCTACAACCAAATTATAAACTACCATTTGCAGCAGATCCTAGAAATATTTATAACATATACATATTTTTTTTTTTAGGAAGAAAGGATTTCAATGTTCAGATGAGAAATGGATATAACCAGACATTTATCTTTGTTCCCACCTGAAAATAAAAAACAGAAAAAATGAACTAGGGCACCTGATGATAGAAGTGCATGAAGAGAACACAGAACGGATTTCCTGTAGACCTGACGCTGCACATGCTAAGTGCAAGATGTTTCTGCCACTGCCTCAACTGCCAGCAAAGTGGATTAAATATACCCTGCTGACTCCTGTCAGACATAGCGTATCCCACCTTGTAAGTTGCAGGGAACACCATTGATCAGATCATTCTGAACAAAATGGCAGCAGAGGGCTGGACGATGTTTTGAAATACATTAAAAACGAACCCTTTCAGCAACGTGATCCCAGCAGTCACCTTTTTTTCTTATCACTCAATAGCTGCATCCTTTTTTTAGATCGCCTCTGCATACCTCCCAGGAATAACAAACAAGACTGCTAGAACACATCCAGGGTACCAGTGAAATATTCGCAATGCAAAAGCGCTTGATATCAAAGATTATTGCAGTTTCCACGGAGATGGAAGAAAGCAGAAAAAAAAAAAACATAACGCTTTGTAACCAGCTTCTTCTGCAGTAAACTGAGCTCTCTTGCGTTCCTATTCAAAGTCCATTTAAAAAAAAAAAAAAGGCTGAAATAAAAAAAAAAAGCAGCAGTCTATTAAAAGAGTCCAAATCCTGCCTTCCTTGAAATACAGTGCATGGCTTAACATCTGGAAGAAGTATGCCTACCTTGACATATGTGTCATATTTTGTGAACCACTTAAGGATTTCCATGTCCATTCCAGATTTCAGCGGCTTCCTGAAGACTGCCGTATCCTGCTTTTTCTCTCCAGCAAAAAAAAAAAAAAAAACACAGTTGACTAGAGAGATGGAAGGACCTGCTCACAGGATAATGCAGCCTTCCTAAAGGATGCAAGAAAAGGCATGAGTATTGTGTCACAGCACTTATACACAGCCACTGTCAGTAGCCTGGCAACTGCAGGGTTTAATAGGAGTCATTTTGTTTGCTTGTTTGGATTTCTATCTCTTTTTTGTTTTGTTACAGCACATATATATTTTGTGGTCGCTGTATGTGATTCTCTTTCATACTAACTGCGGCTGAAAAGAATAGCATACCACCACGACGAATATCAGTGAGATTAACCCTTCCATAGCCTGGTATACTATAGAGTAGTTATTCTCAACTAGGGTTCCTCCAGAAGTTGTTAGGGGTTCCTTGAGCTGTGGCTGAATGACTTTACATTTGATGGCGCCTGCAAACTTCACGGGCCAATACCACTTAGCATAACCAGCTTGCATGGCACCAGTGATCTTTTTCGTTGTCTTTAAAGGTGGCAATCTGACTACCACTATAAGGGGTCAGCAATGTAAGGGGGATTTTCCCACTGACCCCCAATGAATTGGCTTTAGCAGGGGTTTCCCAAAACCTGAAAATTATTTCAAGGGTTCTCCTAGGGAAAAAAAAAAAAGTTGAGAAAGGCTGCTATAGAGATTCTTGATGACTCCACTATAAGGGGTCAGCAATGTAAGGGGCATTTTCCCACTGACCCCCAATGAATTGGCTTTAGCAGGGGTTTCCCAAAACCTGAACATTTTTTCAAGGGTTATCCTAGGGAAAAAAAAAAAGTTGAGAAACGCTGCTATAGAGATTCCTGATGACTCCACTATAAGGGGTCAGCAATGTAAGGGGCATTTTCCCACTGAACCCCCAATGAATTGGCTTTAGAAGGGGTTTCCCAAAACCTGAAAATTATTTCAAGGGTTCTCCTAGGGGAAAAAAAAAGTTGAGAAAGGCTGCTATAGAGATTCTTGATGACTCCACTATAAGGGGTCAGCTATGTAAGGGGGATTTTCCCACTGACCCCCAATGAATTGGCTTTAGCAGGGGTTTCTCAAAAACTGAAAATTATTTCAAGTGGGTTCCTAGGGAGAAAAAAATGTTGAGAAAGGCTGCTATAGATTACTTGATGACGCCACTATAAGGGGTCAGCAATGCAAGGAACATTTTCCCATTGACCCCCAATGAATTGGCTTTAGCAGAGGTTTCCCAAAACCTGAAAATTATTTCAAGGGTTCCCCTAGGGAAAAAAAAAGTTAAGAAAGGCTGCTATAGAGATTCTTGATGACTCCACCATAAAGGATCAGCAAGGTAAGGGGCATTTTCCCATTGACCCCCAATGAATTGGCTTTCCCAGGGGTTTCCCAAAACCTGAAAAATTAATTCAAGGGTTCTCCTAGGGAAAACAAAAAGTTGAGAAAGTCTGCTATAGAGATTCTTGATGATTCCACTATAAGGGGTCAGCAATGTAAGGGGCATTTTTCCCACTGACCCCCAATGAGTTGGCTTTAGCAGGGGTTTTCCAAAACCTGAAAATTATTTCAAGGGTTATCCTAGGGAAAAAAAAAAAGTTGAGAAAGTCTGCTATAGAGATTCTTGATGACTCCACTATAAGGGGTCAGCAATGTAAGAGGAATTTTTCCCACTGACCCCAATGAATTGGTTTTAGCAGGGGTTTCCCAAAACCTGAACATTATTTCAAGGGTTCTCCTGGGGAAATAAATGTTGAGAAAGGCTGCTACAGAGATTTCTGATGTCTCCACCATAAGGGGTCAGCAATTTAAGGGGCATTTTCCCACTGAACCCCCAATGAATTGGCTTTAGAAGGGGTTTCCCAAAACCTGAAAATTATTTCAAGGTGGTTCCTAGGGAGAAAAAAACGTTGAGAAAGGCTGCTATAAATTCTTGATGACTCCACTATAAGGGGTCAGAAATGTAAGGGACATTTTCCCATTGACCCCCAATGAATTAGCTTTAGCAGGGGTTTCCCAAAACCTGAAAATTATTTCAAGGGTTCTCCTAGGGAAAAAAAAAAAAGTTGAGAAAGGCTGCTATATAGATTCTTGATGGAGCAGATTCCAGAACTACAACTTCAAGCAGTATCTGCATAAGATAGATTTTCCACTACTGATTGCTCAGCATTGGCAGTTATAAATGTCATAAAAAGAGCAATTACTGCATAACCTCATTATACAGATTTTTTATGTGATGATGTTCTGATATTTAAATTGAATAGTTGCTCAAAATATTTGTAAGCCAAAGCTATTTCTCCTATGGAGTGCAGTTAGTTCTGCTCTACTGTGATCTGTTTTCAGCCAAAACCAGGCTTCAACCCACTGTTAAAGTCAAATATGCCAAAAGCTCCTGCGCATGAGTGTAGAGGGCTGAAGACAGGGAAGTATGGTGGAACCCAAAATATATGTGAAATTTCGAGCAGATAAGCTAAGCCTTGCTTGCTGTGTATGACAGGGGAAGTCAGGAGTAACTGCAGGAAAAAATGAAAAAACAAGAGTGCACTGGCCTAGCGCATTATCCCAGATGACAGTTTATTGAAAGTTTATTGGGATAATGTGCTAGGTCAGTGTGCTCTTGTTTCATTTTTTCCTTCAACCCACTGTTAGCTGACATCATAGAATCGGTCCAGTCTCTGAGAAGATCCCGATCATATAGTCAGGATTCACCTAAATGCATGAACCTGTAGCTGGCTCAGCCTCTCAGCGTGCCTGAGCAAGCCACAACCGTCACTCCCCAGCGCTCCAATGACCGCTGAAGAGGCAGGACAGACAGACTGACAGTCCCCAGCTCTCTGCTCACAGAATGAGAAACTGAGCGACCAGCTGTTTTTGATTGTTCATTTCTCAGTGCAGAGCCGACGGGGGACACTGGATTAATGCTGCATCCACCTAGGTGAGTATCTTTTTTTAAATCCTATACTTTTCTTTGAAATATAATCAATATGTTTATATATTATCAAATAATATTTGTATATAAAAACAACTAAAATAAAAATTGTGATAGCACTAAACTTTTCAGTTTTCATTGGCTCTTCCACCCAGAACAAGCCCACCATTTTTCTACTTGCTGGTAGCACACCCATATGGAAGAAAAATATATTTGAAATATATTGAAAAAATATTCTTTCCCAATATATTGACATACAGTATATTTGAAATACTACAATTTTGGCCATGTTAAATATATTTCAAAATATATATATATATATATATATATATATTATATATATATATATATATATATATATATATATATATATATAAATATATATATATACACACACACATACACATACACATACATACTGTATGTTGAAATGCGTTTTTATTACAAATATATGAAAAAATATTTTTATTCTTCAGATTTTTTTTTAACATATATTTTTAACAAAAAAGTCATTTTAACATATATTTTTAAATATATTTGTAAATGCATTCTAAAAATGTAATTTGTATTTTTAAAGACATACAGTATATTTGAAAATGTATTTTTTTTAATATTTTTCATATATTTTGTAATAAAAACGCATTTTATACAGTATATACTGTATATATATCTTTACTGAAATATATTTTGAAATATATTGAATATGGCCAAAATTGTAGTATTTCAAATACTGTATATGTCAATATATTTGGGAAGAATATTTTTAAAATATATTTCAAATATATTTTTCTTCCATGTGGACAGCAAGCAGCAATTACCAAGATTTAACTCCCTCCTGCCTGCCATATAAGGAAATGACTGGCGTTCTGGGAGGACGTCCGGGGACGCGCAGCACAGTGATCAGTGGTGCGCTGTGTCCCTCGGACACTGCGGATCACCGATCAATGGAAAGAGCTGAAGATGTCGGCTCGGTCATGTGATCAGCTGTGTCCAATCACAGATGATCGCATGTAAATAGGGAAATGCCGATTATCGGCATTTCTCTCCTCACAAGTTGTCACGCTGACAGCTTGTGAGGAGAGGAGATCCGGTAATCGGCATCCCTCAGAGGGAACATGTACACTGATCATCAGGGCACTGATGATCAGTGTGCCCTGATGATCAGTGTAGCCCCAGCAGTGCCACCTGTCAGTGTCTATCAATGCCGCATATCAGTGCCCATCTGAGCTGCCTTTCAGTGTCACCTATCAGTGCCAGTCAGTGCCACCTATCAATGCCAGTCAGTGCCACCTATCAGTGCTGCCAGTCAGTGCTGCCTATCAGTGCCCATCAGTGCTGCTTATCAGTGCCAGTCAGTGCCGCTTATCAGTGCCACCTATCAGTTCTGCCTATCAGTGCCATATATGAGTGCTGCCTTTCAGTGCCCATCAGTGATGCCTGTCAATGCCCATCAGTGCCACCTACCAGTGCCTCCTCATCAGTGCTCATCAGTGCCACCTATCAGTGCCCATCAGTGCAGCCTATCAGTGCCCATTACTGCAGCCTCATTAGAGCACGTCCGTGAAGGAGAAAAATTACTTATTTACAAAACTGTATAACAAAAACTAAGAAAAAACTTTTTTTTTTTTTGGTTTGTTTAACAAAAAATAAAAAACCCAGAGGTGATTAAATACCACCAAAAGAAAGCTCTATCTGTCTCAAAATAAATATAAAAATTTCATATGGGTACAGTGTTGCATGACCGCGCAATTGTCATTCAAAGTGTGGCAACGTTGAAAGCTAAAAATTGGCCTGGGCAGGGAGGGGGTATAAGTGCCCTGTAGACAAGTGGTTAAAGTATAACTAAGAGAAAAACTTTTTTTTTAGTTTTTGGACATAGAGGAGAAGGACTGGAACACGTTAGATCTATTGCTGTCTGTCCCTTTAAGAAAATTTACCCTTTCTATTTGACCTGTTTACCATTATCATTGAAAGAGAGCTTAAAGGAAAATCCCAGAAATGGAATAGAGGGGTAATCTTCCAATGGGGACACTAGTTCTGGTGATCTGGGGGTCCCAAGGGATTCCCTTAATTTGCAGGGATTTCCTCTCACTTCCTGTTTTGCTATGAG